CAGAAAAACATGATGTCAATACTAAATAGAATTGTAGAATTGTAGAAAAGAAAAAGAGTTGGTGTTTTGTTTTTGTTTGTTTTTATTTTAGGTCGTATTCCTTAATATCCCCATTCAGTTTGTACTAAACCATGTTTCTTCACACAGGTCACAGAAGAATGTGAAAGTTCAGACCCAAACAACTCAGCTGGACTCCGGAAGAAGATGAAGGAGATTTCACTGACCATGCGCAGAAAAATGGGCAAAAAACATGCCAAGTCTTTATCCGAGGAGACAGTGAGTCGCTGAATCACTCACACACACTTTTACATCAATTAACCGAGCACTCTGATAAGGTTTTTGACCGTTCACATACACACATTAATGCTTTAGTTCTCCAGCGCTGTTTTATTCTAAAGAATTTGTGCGCAAGTGATCAAAAAGTCCCTCAGCGTGCAACAAATTCGAGGCCACGGACATCACTTACTGCAAACCTGCTCTGTTTATCACTTTCATCTCCTCTGAAACCACATCCTCAAACTGTGACGCGGTTGTTGGCGATATTTAGATGACTGTTTGCTGTCATCTGCATCGAAAAGTGTCTTCCTGCAGTATCTGTGTTTTTCTCAAACAGCGATTGAAAGATAAGATGTTTTGATTAGCTTTGGAAATTTCATAGCCTACACCTCCACCTCCACTTTTACATGGAGTCGTTCGAATAGTCTGCCTAATTGTGCACACTCCGTCCCTGTTTATCTGTTTATGTAACGTTGCTGCCTTTTAAAACCGTGGGCCTTGTCGTTTTTTGCTTTCCTTCAGGGCGATGACACAGACAAAGAGCCAGATGCAGAGACAGAAAGCAGCCCTCCAGCTGAGAAAAACTCCACACAGACAAGCAACTCCTTGGAGAGTCTTTACAGTGGCCAGAGCTCCTCCAGTAAGTATCTGCTCATAATGCACACCCAGACATAGTGAATAAATGTGTGGTGTTAACCAGTAATACTCTTAGATGAGTGTGTAATCCTCCTGTGCTGTGTTGTGTTTGTGGGTTCAGGTGGTGTGACCAGTGAGTCCAATGGCTCTGGTCAGAGAGACAGTCTGAGGCTGGAGGAGGACGGCTCGTATCACGGACAGTTCTGTGGCCGAGCTCGAGTCCACACGGATTTTGTTCCCAGTCCATATGACACGGACTCCCTCAAACTCAAGGTAACTCTCCATGTCCACGCTTTACATGGACATGGCTGTACTTAGACAGGGAAACATCTGCAGTAACAATGAAGCAGTCTCAACCATCTTTTAATAGATTTTTTTTTTCCAAGGTTGGTGACATCATCAACATCATCAGTAAGCCTCCAATGGGCATTTGGACAGGCATGCTCAACAACAAAGTGGGCAACTTCAAGTTCATCTATGTCGACGTTTTGGTGGAGAAAGAAGAAGAAGAGGAGACTCCCAAAATCAGACAGCAGAAGCTGTGCAAAAGACCTCGACCTAAAACACTGCTGGAGTTACTGGAACGCTTGAATCTGGAGGTGAGGACCAGATCTGCTCACCTGGGGTCTTTTGTCTTAGTTTAGGGGACGAATCACAAAGTTTTCAAAGACTTAGTCATGACAGCAAAACATTTAAAGATTTGTGCTTTAGTTTTACAGTCGGTGGTTGCTCTTGTTTTAGGAATATGCTTCTGCACTGATGCTAAATGGCTATGAAACAGTGGAGTCCCTGATGCACCTGCAGGAGAAACATCTTATAGAGCTGAACGTCAAAGACCCAGAGCACAGACAGAAGCTACTCACTGCTGCTGAATACCACTACACAGAAGGTCAGAAACACACCGAGCAATCATTGTGACTGGTTCTAATGCTAACAAGTAACAATATGCAGCACTTAGTCAAGGGAGATACTGCTTCATAAGAGTTCACTCCTGAAAAATGAACATTCTGAAAAATAAAAATAAAGATCCTCTCATGAAGGTTTCAGAAGTGGGCTGCACAGACTGGCTCGCAGCAGAGATGCAGGAGTCAGCAAATGAGACTAACAATTTTTGTTAGCAGGCTCAATCGGTGTTATGTTAAGCCTGAAAGTAACACCACACTGAATGTGAAGCAGCTGTAAATACAATACAGTCTTCACAGAGACTGTATATTAAAGAAGCTAATAGCTACCTCACTTATTGTCAATCACAATTTTATTTAATAGCACATTTTATTATACACAAACTAAATGCTTTTAACATAATAGAAAAATACATAAAAACCTAAACCTTTGTTTCCAGTCCTACCCTTTATTTCCTGTCTGTAACCCGTCCCAGCAACCATAAAACAAAGAATAAAAACTGTACAATTGGCTCTCGTCTTTTAACCAGCAGTCATGAGAGTTACATTTTCTGAGTAAATAATAACTCTGTGTGTGTGTGTGTCTGTACAGACAGCAAAATCTTTGTCCAGTAATTAAATACAATTACATCCCTAAAGTCTTTTAAGCAGCATGTGGAGCTGCTTTGTTTGATTATGGTTAAAACATGGTAGAATTTACTCATTAGCCAATCAGAAGTGAGCATTCAAACAAACAGCAAGATAAGGTAAAGACTGTATTAAATAAAAACTCTCTTTTTTAAATTAAGAAAAATATTTTATAATTACCATAAATATAAAATGAATGGAAGTGTAATTCTGTCACTTTATTTCTGTGGGACAATAAAAAGGGTTCACTCTGTAAATATGTGGATGGAAACAGGTAAAGGCTGAGACATTTGTGCCGTAGAGAATAGAAATACATCATGCACACTGTGAGAAGCTTATTGGTGACTTCCTGTTACTCAGATAGAAAGTGCTTAACATGACAGAAGGTGTTCCTGTAATCTGAAGTCTGGAAGCAGTCTGACTGATTATCAGAAATCCCTGCATGAATGAAAGCAAAACTTTCCAAAACAATCCAATATGACAGTGGAAAAACATCCACAGGCCTTTTTTGTGGCTTCGTTCATGTTTTACTTTGTGTAATTTAAGCAGATGTGCACAAAGTCAAAGTAAATGTCAGTGTAATTTCTTTTTTAGCTCGGCTTGGTTGACAGTGAAACTAAACAGATGGCAGCTGCTGCAGCGTGACCCTGCCAAGCTCACATAGACACCAGTAATTTAATCAAGCTGAGCTAGATTAGTTGGATTAGCGGCTTCTGTTAGTGAGTTTAAAAAACAATGAGGAAGAATATTTTTGCAGTTTACAGGAAAAAAAATTAGGTGACATATTTTCTTCTAGAGTTTCCTGCTTCAAATCATATGTATTTGGGTCATGTGACAACTCACCAGAACATCCTCTGGTCTGACACCAATAAGCAACATTTGCGATAATGCGTCGCTATCATCGCAATAAATCATATTAAAATTAAACGGTGTCACCCTTCCGCATCTAAATATGGCTTCAATTCTGCAAAGTAGTACAGATTTGAATATTATGACATTTAATTGAATTCAGTTTGGTTTGTGGCTGCAGGTGATGATGTCAGGGATGCGGAGGAGCTCAAATCTTCCCACAGTCTGCAGGAGGAAGACAGCGACTGTCCCAGAGACTCGGGCTGCTTCATCCCGTCAGAGTGTTCAGACAGCAAGGAGGACACAGAGCCCGTCACAGACGCCGTGGAGTCCTAAAGCACATGTTTGTCATTTGTATACTTTGATCAGAGTTTAAAAGTTGCACATTTTCTTATGACTTTGATGAAAATGGTTTTAAAAGACTCATTCCATAACTTTCTGAAAATGTCACAATTGTATCCCTTGTTCCAGTGAGGGAACAAGGGATACAATTTGCTTTGTATATGCTAAAGCTTTCTAATGTGGAAGCTTTAGCATATACAAAGAAGAGACAATATTCTTAACTTCATATTATCTTTTTGTCACTTTATCACTATGATAGGTATAGGCATTGAGTTTTGGCAGTAAGTTGCCAAAATTTTGTCACATTAATGTCATTTGTATTTATTGCATTCTAAATCTTGAATTGTTTTTGCGTGTAAAGCTTTTATTTATCACAGCTGCATCATTTTGACCTTTCTTGTTACGGCTGATCTCTGTTTAACTTTCGGTCTACTTTCCTTTCCTGTGATTTAACAGCTGTTTGTATATTCAGATCTTGTCTGTAATGCATACTCTACAGATTGACAAGTATACTTTTTTCTGAAAGTGCGTTTGAATGAGATTGTGTGTGAGAGAGCCTGTGTGTGAGCATTCCTGTGAAAAGGAGCATTCATTTATTTTCAAAACTTTTTGTAAATAAAGCATTTAAAAAATAGAGTTAAATATGTGGTTTGTGTTTATTTAAAGACTCTAAGTAATACAAGAGTACAGTCTCTGATAGAGCCAAGTCCACAAGTACATCTGTACACACGGATTGCACCTCTACATGAATTTAGCTTAATTACCACTAACACATGACCCTACACTGTGTTCACTGCATCATTCCATGTTTGGCACTGATCACCACCTGCACTCATATCTATCTACTTAGCACTTTTAATTCTTATGCTTATTTTTATTTTCATGTCTATTTTAGCGTAATTTATGACAGTATGTTTGCACAGAAGCACCGCAGCAATTTCCTAATGTTGTAAACCTGCTCAACATTTGGCAATAAAACCCTTTCTGATTCTGATTCTGATTAAATTAAGGTCTACTTTTAATAGTACTATTAAAATTTAATACTATTAAAATAATAAATAATACTATTAAAATAGTACTACTTTTAATAGTACTACTTTTAATAGTACTATTGCTAATACTACTACTACTACTATACTACTACTACTACTATAATAATATTTAGTTAATAATTAATTTATTATATTTTACTTTTATTTATTCATGTTTGTATCGATTGACTAATTAATTTAATTAGTAATTTATAAATAAAAAAATAATTGTTTCGCCCTTCCCTGATTGGTTAACCTCGTGCATACGTTTCAAAATGCTCCCTTTGCGGTTGGCGTTGCTAGCTATATGGGATTTGTAGTACAAAGCGGCCGATTTCTGGGTTTCTGGTAGCGTTTGCGTAAACGACTTAAACTACATTACCCAGCATTCCCCACGAGCCGTGCAAAGTTGACGTGTATTTTGTTGGTGAACGGAAAATTTCCCGTTTGTCGTCATCCAGTTGTCAAAAGCCGGACACGGTTTCGACACAGCTTTTAATACATTTTTTGTGAATTTTAAGCGTCCGTTGACTTCGTAACGGCTTGTGACGATGGCCGGAGAAATCTCCATGATTGGTGAGTAGAAGCATAGCCGTTTTAGGGTGCTAATTCATGAGCTAATAATGGTTTGGTCCACCTGTGATGCGCGTGCTGTTACCGTCCCACAGGTTCGGTGATTCTGGCCCTGTTCTTGGCTGGCTACCTGGGTCAGCAGTACCTGCCTCCCCCAAAACCCAAGGTGATCGGTTTGGACTTGGGCACCACCTTCTGCTCCGTGGGGGTCTTCCACCCGGGCAGCGGGGAGGTGGAGGTGATAGCGGATGAAGAGGGGAGGAAGAGCATCCCTAGCGCGGTCTCTTTCACCACCACCGCGGTGCTGGCCGGACACGAAGCCGTGGACCTAGCTGACATCAACCCCCAAAACACCATCTACGATGCCAAAAGGTTCATCGGGAAGATTTTTGAGCCAGAGGTCCTAGAGAAGGAGAGCGCTAGGTACCCGTTCAAGGTGGGTCATCCTGGGCTGGGTTTGGAAAGTTTTCAGCTCAGACAGGCAACCAATCTAGCCACCTTTCCTAACTATGTGTATGCAGTGATATTAGATCCACACTTTAAGAAAAGCATCCTCTCATCCTTCTCTTGCCATAGGTGATAAACAACAAGGGCAGTGCAGAGTTTGTGATCTCCACCAACCACACCTTCACCGTTACCCCAGAGTTCATCGGCTCCAGGCTGCTGCTGAAGCTGAGGAAGATGGCTGAGCTACAGCTGGGTGTGGTGGTGCAGCAGGCCGTCATCTCAGTGCCTGCAGAGTTTGATGAGAGGCAGAGGGACTACACAGCGAGGGCTGCTAACCTTGCTGGTCAGTTTACTAATGAGTCTCAAGACTGCACATAATTAAACTGGGTTTACAGAGAGCTTTACCCAGTCTTTGAATCCATTACAGCGCTTCTTCTCAGGCATCATTAAAAACAACTCGTACCCCACATTAATGTTAGAAGTGTGTGCACGCTAACTCTTCCTTCGCTGTCTTCCAGGCTTGGCAGTCTTACGTGTGATCAACGAGCCCACGGCTGCAGCAATGGCCTACGGCCTGCACAAGGTGGACGTGTTTAACGTGCTGGTGGTGGACTTGGGAGGAGGGACTTTGGATGTGTCTTTACTCAACAAACAGGGAGGCATGTTCCTCACTAGGGCAATGGCAGGTAATGTGCTTCACAGCTCCAGAAATAAAAGTTTGGTATAGTTGTAATAAAGTTGCGATAGACTAGCGACCCTTTCCAGGGTGTACCCTGCCTCTCGATAAACCCCACCATTCCTGACTGTAGAATATAATTTTAAAACACCATGGTAACAAACAAGCAACGTTACATGCTTCTATATACTCTAGAACCTTTTTTTATGTTTGTCACACTTAAGTTTCTGATCATTTCATTTATTTATTTATTTCACACTTGGTTCAACAGTTTCAGCAGTCATCAAACAAATGTAAATATTAGACAAAGATGAGACAAGTAAACAAAAAAATGCAGTTTCTAAATGAAGGTGTTTGTTATTAACGAGGAAAAAATACAAACCTACTTGGACCTTTGTGTAAAAGTGATTCCACCCTAACCTAATAACTGGATGGGCCACCCTTAGCAGCAACAACTGCAATTAGGCGTCTTTTACAGCGCTGTGGAGGAATTCTGGCCCACTCATCTTTGCAGAATTGTTGTAATTCAGTCACATTGGTGGGTTTTTGAGCATGAACCATCTTTTTAAGATCATGCCACAGCATCTCAATCAGATTCAGGTCAGGACTTTGACTAGGCCACTCCAAAGTCTTCATTTTGTTTTTCTTAAGCCATTCAGAAGTGGACTTGTTGGTGTGATTTGAGTCATTGTCCTGCTGCAGAACGCAAGCATGTTTCAGTTTGAGGTCATGAACAGGTGGCTGGACAGGATGCTTTGGTAGACAGCAGAATTCATGGTCCCATTTACCACAGCAAGTCTACCAGGCTTCTGAGGCAGCAAAACAGTCCCAGACCATCAAACTACCACCACCATATTTTACTGTTGGCGTTATGTTCCTTTTCTGAAATTGTGTGTTACTTTTACGTCAGATGTAATGGGACACACACCCTTCAAAAAGTTCAGCTTTTGTCTTGTTAGTCCACAGAGTATTTTTCCAAACGTCTTGGGGATCATCAAGATGTTTTCTGGCAAAACTGCGACAAGTCTTTTTTTCTTTTGCTCAGCAGTGGTCTTCGTCTTTGAAATATGCCTTGCATGCTAAATGACCTCATGTTTGTGTGTTTATTTTTAAAAAGCTGCATAGCTGCTGCTCTTCTGACTACCAAATAAGTGACTTACTGCATCTTGTGGTTCAAAGTGGTGTTAGGTAAGATTACAGGAGTACTGTGTCACTGTTGTTGTGGTGTCACCTCAGAGAAACGTTACGCTAAGGGTGGGGTGGGGGGGGATGGGATGGGGCATCGATACAGCATTGCGGTATTTTGTATGGCGACATTGTATTGATACAGGGACATCCATATTCAACATTTTATTAAATAAATGAAAAGAATTTGGGAAGACTGTAAACAAGAGGGCTCACCTCGTGCACTCCTGAGATGATGTTAGCCAAGCAAACTTACATGCAGTCCACTCGAATGTGTTAAAAACTATCCAACTAGCTTTGACAAATCTACCTACTTGTTCAAAGCAAGTTAACAGCTCAGCCACTGAATTAAAAATAGGACAGCAACTTGTTTATGTCTACAAAGAAATTGGTGGCTGCCTGGTGATTATATTGAATATTTTCACATTCTACGACATATTATAACTTGTGGCGACTACATTTTTTGGGTGTTGCACATTCCTGACCACTTTTGAACAAAAGGCAGTTGCACAGGTTGTCTGATAGGAGGCAACCTTTCTGCAAAACAGTTGCAGTCTGACTTGGACGGACTGCAATCACTTTGAGAATGTTAAAGGTTTGCAAATAATTGTATCATTTCTAAATGCAGACAGTCTGGTTGAGTCTTTGGCGATGAGCACAACTCAAGGGGACTTGACTCAACTGGCTGTCTGCTGAATGTAATCTTGTTGTATTTCTGCAGAACAGGATTCCTACTGGCAACCACTTGATACTCAAAAATCCCATCTGTTTCAATCATTACTTGTGAATGGCTGCAGAATGAAAGCACTTACTCTTTTTGATATACTCTGTATTGTGACAGTGTTGTATTGTGTATACTGTACCTCTATACTATCAGTCTATAATGTTAAAGGGCTCTTTTGTTTGTTTGCTTTCAGGCAATAATAATTTGGGAGGTCAGGACTTCAGCCAGAGGTTGCTCCAGTACACAACAGAGCGAGTCCGGCAGGAGTTTGGAGTCCCACCCACCCTCAAGGAGGACATCCACCATCTCCGGCAGGCTGTAGAAGCTGCCAAGCTCAACCTGACCCTCCAACCTAGCGTAACCATCCGGGTGCCCCTGCACCTTCGCACTCTCGACAGCTTAGACAGCTCCACTCCGCCTCCAGTTCTCTTCCAGGCCGTAATCACTCGCACGCTTTTCGAGGAGCTCAATGAGGACCTCTTCCAGAAGATTCTGGCACCTGTGGAGACCGTGTTAGCTGAGGGTCACTTGGACAAGGAGGAGGTGGATGAGATCGTTTTGGTTGGAGGCTCCACCAGGATCCCGCGAATTAGGAGGCTAATTAGTGAGTACTTTGGAAAGGAGCCCAACACATCAGTGGACCCTGACCTGGCTGTGGTCACCGGCGTGGCCATACAGGCCGGCATCATGAGCGGCTCCTGGCCTTTACAAGTCAGTGCCATAGAAATACCCAACAAAAATCTGCGCAAGACGAACTTCAGCTAATCTCTGTTCCAGTGTTTTATTAGTATTTCATGCTTCTTTAATGCGCTTCTTTAACATCTGCTGATGGGAGGGAAAATAAACACACACACAATAAACCCGTCACCAAAAAGCTTACGATGCACAGCGGTCCTTCTGCTCGGTTGTGGAAATCGAGTGGACATCAAAGAAAGCAGACGGTGTACTGAAACAACATTCCTCTACAGCGACTTGTAACATCAGAGGTGAACCGTCTGGTTTCACATTCTGAGTAACAGCTGCTTTTGTTGTGCGCAAACTTGCAGTAAGACAGTGTCTCTGTCACGTATCTGCTGCACCGTTCAGCTTCAGCAGTCGAGGCTTAGTGGCATCAGATACTTAACTTGTGTTCAGGGAACAGCCACACCTTTCGAAAACATCAAGACTAGCCAGTACTGCTCTAGCTATTTATTTATTTATGTGTAAATTGTGTAGGTCTGATTGTGTTCGTGTGAGAGAGACAATGCGTGTAGGTGTTTAATTGACCTTTAATTTGAGTTCTTAATTATGCACATGCCTTTCAAAGGAGCTGCTACATTGTTTGACCTGCTCCCTCAGAGGCCTTCGTCCTGTTCATAATTTTGTAGAAGTCACAGCAACTAAGTGAGACCAGTTAAAATGTGTCCATATGCTTTTAAAACACTCAAATGTAGTGTAACTGTGAGGTGCAGAGTTCAGTCAACAGATGAAGGTACGTGCTGTGGAAAGCCTTCGTTTTTTTTTTTCGTTTTTTTACAGTACTGTAAATCATTAGCATCGTGAGTAAAATCCACATAAGGTTATTTGCCTTTAAAAGGGACTGAGGAAACGTGCTCAGTGTTGCACTTTAAGGACTCCACATGTTGACCAATGAGACTTTTTTGTGCAATAGAGCTGCTTTATTTAAATATTTGGGAGGACGGACTGCTTTTGCTGCTGTAGTTCAAGATGAGGATGACCAAAGCGTCACTCATCGGTGCCTTGTGTGTTTGATGCTGAGAAATGTGTTCCTGTCACATTTGGATATTTAAGAACGTGTTTGAACGAGATACAAGAAATTTTTGGTGTATATCCAATTTGGAAGTTCATCTCTGGAAAACAAACAGAAAAGCCGCTCTGATAGTTTTACTTTATTTCGACCAAGAATTCAGTGTGCCCACATTCCTTTGAAGTATCGCAAACTGTTTCCCCCTCTGTTGTAATTCATAAATAGGTGTATTCACACCTGCTTTTGTATTTCACATTTTGATGTGTTAGAGCCTCCAGTAAAGATACTGTATGAATCATTTCAATTCCTAACAGGAATAATACCAGGATCTATTTTTATATTGCAACTTTCACCAATTTTAAGTGTATTTGCCTGAAAATGTCAACAGTCTGCTTTTTGACCTATTAAAAATGAGTTTCCGTCTTCTTCACTGTCCTTTCCTTTTGCAAAGTCAAACTTTTTTCAGTTTTGTATTTATGACTGTCGGGTACTGAGGTGGGGTGATGCAGATGAAGCTCATGTACTCATCTAAATTTTATCTGAGGCCTCTAATAGAAGGCGGAGAAGTTCAGAGAGTAGATGAGTGAAGCTGTAATACCTCCCATTAACATAAATACATTTAAGCTCTGACATACATGAGTTACTCAAAATAACAGTTTCACTTCTGCCAAGTGACCTTTACCAGATAACTTAAATAACCCCTTTTAAGATCTTAATGAGGACACTGCACCCTTCTGAGAATTATTGAACCCACACGCTTTACACTTATCCAGACAAACATGATTTCAAAAGCTGTGCAAGAGAAAAGGGAAATATAACCCAAAACACTTTGTTTTATTTCATTCCTTAAGACTTTAATTTAGAGTTTATAACATTTGCTTCTGAGGCACAGTAATACCCAACATAAGAAAACACAAAAAGGTAATCTCTTGACCTGTTCTGATACCAGTCGTATCCCTTAGATTAACTTGCAGCTTCATTTTCACATTTGGTGCCCACTTCATCTACCTCACAGCGGTCAGTTTCACAACAGCAACCAAGCTTTAGATGCATTTTGTTCGTCTGCACTGAAATACCACAAGACTTGACTGCTGTACTTGAACTCAAAGGCTGTACAGGAAGTGAAATCTAATAGGACCAGACTATTGCTAAACTGTCACGTAAGTTCAGATGCCTTTGTGGGCTAGAGCATCTCACGCATTAATCACCTTTTACATACAATTACACACTCAGCACTGCACACATTTATATACCCAGTCAGAAAACACATAATACACATTAAAAATGTACATTCACCATTTACCATAAAAACAGGAGCACAAGTCTCCCCCCCCCGGACCATTTAAACCAGGTGTACTGGGAGCACAGCTCACATGAGTCAGTAGAAGGGATACTTAGAGTTACATGCATTGGTAGGACAGCAGGGCTCTGAGCCTCTATCAAAATAATTCTCTTACATACACCATGTGAGTTTGTCACCTGGAGGAGAAGGCAGGACTTCTGTAAACAGCTTCTGAATTTTTTTTCTTTTCTATTTAAATATAAATATTACTGTTGGTAAGTTTACTATAAACTACAGCATAGTGCTGCCAGGAGGCAGGATACAATGGGCTGTAAGCTATTAGCCCCATGCTGCGACAAAGCCACAATAAAAAATAAAATTCATCTGAAGAATATCTGATGGCGCTTAAAAGAATGAACTGCTTTGGGAAATTAGCTCAAAAGAAATAAAGAAAGTTGATCTTTGTAAAGAAACAGGCCATGGGAACTCAGAGGAACATTTGGAAGTGAGAGGAGGAGGAGACAAAATTCAATCAGTACAAAGTGCTCTTTGAAATTGTACAGTATGTGTGAGGGGGAGGAACAATAGTACTATTTACAGAGTATACACAAGGATACTGCAGTCTGCCGGTTAATCGGGGCAGCAGAGGCAGAGAGACACTTTTACACTGATAAACTGGAATGACGGGATCGCTGAGTAGTGTTGTTTTCATCCTGTGAGGCGAGATCACTGGCTGATGCCCTGATTGGCGTAGTAGTCGTAGCTGTCTCCATAGAGCTCCTCGGCACTGCCAACTCCGTTCCTCACCTCTGGAGGGCGCCAAAGGACAAGAAACAAAACAACTTGTTTCAATGATACATTTCCAGCTCTTTCTGACCTCTTCTCATTTACACAAACATCTTTCCCCAGCAGGTTAACAACACTGAAGGATTGGAAAAATGATAAAGAACCACAAACAGCTGGCACTTACATCACTCACCTTTGACCTCCAGTACCAAGGGCTGTCTACACAGACTGGGACATGATTTTCCCCTGGCAGGATTTTGGGGGAGGACAGATGTGTGAAGGGATGGATGGATGCAGGTATGATGATGGGGAAAAAGGGCAAAGTAGGCAGAGAGGTGGAAGGTAACAAGGGATGCAACGGATGAAGGGAACAAAGGAAGAAGTCACTGCTTGTGAAGGATGAAAAGGTGCTGAACATCACACGGAGGATGTAGGAGGGAGGCTGTTACTGGGGCTGACCTTCAACATGGAAGAGAGGAAGAGGAGGACCAAGATTTACAGACACTCAGATGCATGCTAGGATGGACTGGCATGCTATTTGGGCACCTGAAGTCTAAAAAACAGGTTACGGAGGTTCAAGAGCCCAAATTAATGAAAAATAAATAAATAAATAAAGACTGGTAAATAATTCAATTTGCCTTTATTTCACTGCACGGGCCTTACCAGAGAAAATAAGTTTCTCCTTCATGACGTTGATGTCTCCACTGGACCTCCTGACCGCAGCATTCAGCATGATCTGTTCAGGGTTGTAGCTGCGCATACCGCTCATCCGATACCTGCAGTGTTTGCACAGGCTGCATCAGAAATCACCACGAGACACAAGGACACCCTAAAGACAGCTGCACTGGATTACAGCCTGGACATTTCAAATTGTAATAAGCAACCTGGTCTGTGTGCATGCCTCACTCTGTTAAAATGTACAGATTGGAACAAATTATGTTCAGGAATTGTTTGTTTGATACTTCACATGCTATGATGCAACATCCAACCGATATCGGTCAAGTGTATGAAGTATGGCGTTCAATTTGGAGGAAAAAAACCAAACGAACAAAAAACAACAGACTTCTCATAGTGTGTATATATGTATGTATAGGTACTGATCGGGTTTAATTGTAAGTAATAAGGTAAAAGCATCACTCCTTTATCTTTGGAAACACTTGAACGTATTTCATTAAAGATGTGCATTTTGCTGGCAAAATGATCATTTAATTAATGAGTCAATATTCACCGCTCTACTGTTCTCTTAAAATATACTGTCACTCATAGAAAAAACAACAACAATGTTTCGTTAACAATTAAAAACATATCAACTATTTTCTTATACAAGTGGTTTATCACTGTTTTGTCTTTGCTAGATTATCGTTGCTGACAGGCCACTGATTTCATTTCCTGCCTGCCACAACTTCATCCTCGTTTTAATGAAAACAGCCCCGATTTCAATTCAATTAACTTGGAAGCATTAGTCACAATGAACTGTGACTAATGCACAGAAGCATTTAGAGACACAAACAAGCCAGGATTCAGAAAGCCAATCCTGAGGCCTTTCCTGGATGAATCGAGAGCTCCAATTCATTTTGGACATTTAGTCGTTAACTTATTAAGACTGATGAGACATTTAAACTCTCACTGTGGACTATTTTTTGTGCTGTGTGGGTAGATTACATTTCATTTGTTTGGCAGAGGAGAATGAGGATGAGAAGTCGTCGCTGTCATAGAGGAAAGCACAGCAGCAGTGCAATACATCCATTCAGGTGAGACAGAGAAGAAGGTGAGAATAAATATAGGAAGTGGAACTAAGGTGGAGAGAAAAAATCTGGATGAGATGGATGATATAGTAACAGCAGAAAAAAAAAAAAAAAAGGAAAAAAAAAAGAGGAAATCAACGATGCATCAAACAAAGGAATGATGGGTAAAGATTATGAAAGGTAGAAAGGTGGTGAAAGGAGAGAAGACTTTGGGTCAGAAGAGGCGACCCAGTTACCTGATCATGTGATAGCTGAGAGAAGATGCCAGAATGCAGCAGGAGGAGGAGGAAGAAGAGCATGCACGTCAGGCAGAGGAGAAAGGACGAGGAAGAGGCGGAAAGAGAAAAAAGGACAAAAGAAGGCGGGAGACAAGAGATCAGTTTAGAAGCCAGCAGAAGCTATTAAATAGCTCCAATAATCAGAGCAGACTCATTTTGAACCCTTATTGTGGAACAGATTAATAAATAAATCAATGCCCTTGGTGCCAGTGATGACAGGAGGACAGGCCATCTGTCTCTGGGGTCATCAGAGAAACAAACAAACAGCACTTTTAACACAGCAGAAACGCAGGGCAGGGAGTGTGAAGGGCTTAGCAAAGAGAAAACACGTTTATATAAAAACATTCACCCTTCTCCAGCCTGGGACACAACAGAAATACACATGACTGCTTATAATGCCACAAAACAAAATGGGTTTTAAAGAGATTCTCATTTGATTAAAAAACAGCATCATTATGTAGGAGCTGCTGATGTGTTCCAGACAGGGAGATGTCTACTGAGTAAATGTGTTTGTCAATTAGCAGTAATGAGTGTATTTAAGTGTGAAAGAGGAATAACACACCTGCAGAAAAATAGAGGAACATTAGCTGTTGTGTAAGAGCTCGCTTTAATGATCTCACTGCTGTGTGTGTACTTACTTTTGGAAAATGAATATGCCTATGACTACAGCAAAGGAGATGAGGTCTGCAGACACCCACGCCAGGCAGTACACATTTGGTCTCTGGAAACACACACACACACACACACACACACACACGATAGATCTGAGTTTTGTCTTGAAGTCATTTACAGCAGGATCCATCACAGGGTGGCGCTATATGCCAAAGAATACAGTTAATTTCAGCTGAATTGTGCTGAACTGTTTTTTTCTGAATAAACCCACTAAAATAACAGTTTTTTTAAACAAACACTGACACTGTCAACATTATCATTTACTACAAACATAAATGCAAATCTCTACTTCCTTCCCCATTACCTTCTGTTGGTCTTAATGACAACTCATAGCATATTTGAGAGGATATTTTTCACAGTTGGGTTTAACAGACAGCGCCGCAGATGCTACGAAAGCCTAAACTGTCCCTGAGCCGTAGCAGTGAGCTGGAGGTCATGTCCACATGTTGTCATGCAGAGTTCCCGTATGGTGCCACAGATGGGGGGAGCGGTTTGGCGCGCTGCACATATGAGGGCGAGTGGAAGGATAGCAGAGAGGCTGTCCATGTTGAGAAGTTTCAACAGGAAGACTGAACTAGAAAAGAATGACACTACAGCAAACAGGAGTTCAGTTCAAAGCTAGGCTCTCCTTTTGATATCAATCAGTAAAATCTAATTTAGTCAAAGAGAGGA